CGCCAAAAAAAAAACAAAAAAAAAAACAAACCCAACCCAAAAAAACAACCCCCAACCCAAATAAAAAGTCTGCTACGTTCCCGTTGGGCCTGTTTGATCAGAAACATGATCGCCAAAGAAACGAATTAATTGGGTCTTGTCAAATCGTCTCAAAAGTGTAACTCTTCCAGCTTGTTCTCTTGCCCAATGGGCAGGATGGATGAAAAGGACTGACTGTTGGTCGACAGATGGCTGAATGATCCAGCGGTGTGCCTGGGTGGCCAAGGAGGCCAGCAGCATCCTGGCCTGTATCAGGAACAGTGTGGCCAGCAGGACTGGGACAGTGATTGGCCCTGGTGAGGCCCCACCTCAAGTACTGTGTTCAGTTTTGGCCCCTCATGACAAGGTAGACTTTGAGGTGTTGGAGCGTGTCCAGAGAAGGGCAACGGAGCTGTGAGGGGTCTGGAGCACACATCTGATGAGGAGCGGCTGAGGGACCTGGGGGTGTTCAGCCTGGAGAAGAGGAGGCTGAGGGGAGACCTTCTCGCTCTCTACAGCTCCCTGAAAGGAGGGGGTAGCGAGGGCGAGGTTGGCCTCTTCTCCCAAGGAACAGGTGATAAAACAACGGCTTCAGTTGTGCCAGGGGAGGTTTAGGTTGGATATTAGGAAAAATTTCTTCATTTCTTGATGTCCATGGTGTTTCTTTTGTTTCTACATTCAGCAGGTGTAAAAGGAGGAAGATATTCATGTAGGTCGTATCAGTCTGGTAGGAAAGCTGAAAAAAACATCAGATTTAAATCTTCAGTAAAGCCAGTGAAGCTGTGAATTAAGAGCACTCTAGCTTACAAACTGCCTTGGCGTCTCAGGGATGTCTGTCTGAATCTATCCCTCAGTCTCTAACTGATTACAAGATTTTTTTATTATTATTATGATTTTAAGCTTTTTTTTCTTTTAAGCTTTATGCTCAAGTTTCCTGCTGTCAAGTTGGTAACAATGGAAACATAGCTAATGTTTAAAAAATTTAAAAAAACCCAACAGGCTGGAAACCTGTTTGGTGATCCACCTGTTTGGTGATCCAGGGTTTGTGTAGTCATGGAAACTAGCCTATCTTTTTAATTGTAAAAAAGAGGCTGCTTTGGTTGTGGGGTTGAGAGACGGGCAGAGAAGCCTGGCTGTGTTTTGATTTGTTGCTTCTGCCCCTTCTACAGGTTCTGATTACACAGCAGAGGCTTTCAGTCTCTAAGACTGTTCCTTCACCAGCATTAATTTGTAGGAATAAAGAACCAAAAGGAAAAATGATATTATTAAGCACTACCACAATAGCTAGACAAAGTTTTAAAATCATCATATTAAAAACACTTAAGATATTGTATGTATTTTCTTGGTATGCATGTAGGCTTCTGCAGAATACATATATGTAAGTATTCAGATTTTAAAATTTAGAAAAAGATTTTGAGATTTTTAACGCTTGGAACGGGAAGCATACCTGACTTTATCAGATTTCCCTTCTGAAGAAAACAGTAGGATAGCTAATGTAGTTCCAGTTTGGTACACTAACGTGTTTTAATTAGTATGCGTGCTTATTACAGGCATCTGTGTATAATTAAATGAAACCGTAAGCAGGTTCTGGATGGGGATAATACATCATAAGCTCTGTTCATCAGCTCTCAAAGTTTCCTGCCCAAAAACATCCCCTGAAGCCCCAGTACAGGCAGTAGTTAAGTAACATTCTCTCGTGTTGGGATAAGATTGTTGAGGTTTAATGCTGAGAGGAACTTAAGTACGTCAGTGTCTTCTGTTTAAAAGACTAAAGGGCCTTTCATATGGTCTTTCAGCCAGTAACCCGAGACCTCAATTTCCTTATGGCCTTGTGCTTCTGGGTTTGGGATCCTGGAGTCGCCGGACAGTACCCTAGGGAAGCACATGATCGTATATTGATGAGATGTAACGTATGTGTTTCTCCTCATCTCTTTCCCCAGCTTAGACAGACCATGACAAAGTTCTGTCAAGAGCATTTGGCTCCGAAGGCCCAACAGATTGACCAGGAAAACGAATTCAAAGACATGCGGGCAAGTATTTCATGTGTGCATTTAAAATAGATGGTAGTGAAAGCCTCTCTGTGCTTTGATCTGTATGTTAGTCCGGACGAAGAATCCCAGTCCACACCACTGGAACATATGCATTAACTTTTCAAACTTGAAAGCCATAGAGAAAACAATTTTTTCATTTCCTGTTTTATCTTTTCTTAACAACTTTCAGCAACCTGGGGCAGAACCCAGCCAGCAGGCAATTAAAAAAAAAAATAAAATTTATAATGGTCTTGTTTGGATTCTCACGGTGGTATTTCTGCTTGGCTCTGTTCAGACTCCTCCTCTGATACATGCTTTGCATTCTCCTAGCTAGGACACTCTCTTGGACATCTGAGTTTCCTCTCAAATTTGTTGTGAAAATGTTGTGTACAAATGCTGAAATATAGGGCGGTTTGACTGTCGAGCTGGAACTTGCCTTCCTAATAAAAACAACAAATTCTGTGCAACGGGATAGTTTGATTGATGAAAAAGAGAGATATAACTATTGGTTTTCATAAGCTCCACAGGACTTAAAAAGCTCAGAACATCTGCTAGGATTTCCCAGAGCTCTGATGTTGACATTTTCAGGGATATATGCGCAGCTTTGAAGTTAAGTATATAAATTTAGTCTGGCGCACCAGATGTCATCCAGAGCTATTGAATAACACTTTTGGAAGTCTCTGGAGCCTATTCACTGATAATTATCTTATTGGTGGACACTGAGGCTGTGTGACAAGCGTTCACCTGTGTGTCCCTCGGGGTGTAGGAGAGGCTGCAGGCTGAAGCGGCAGCAAAGAGCTGCCCTCTCTGGCGTGTGTGTGTCCCTCGTGGGTGACATCCTTTGCTACTGCGTTATGTCATGCCTTCCCTCTTGCCCTGTGATGCCGTGTGCTGGGCACAGCTGATGGGTATGTCTCGAGCCAGCCACAGCCCTGTGCCTCGAATCACGTGGCTGTCACTTGAGCGGTGGCACTGCCAAGGTGACAAATCTGGGTAACAGGCAAACGGAGGAGTCGGGTCGGGGAGAACAGCTTGTCCTCTGGCAGATGAACTTTGTAGCCTGCGTGTCCCGCTGTGCAAAGCTCAGCAATGCTGTCCTGTCCCCACGTGTCTGGTGTCCTGGCAGTCTTAAAAACCTACAGGTTACGTACGTGAGCGGCGCCTGAGGATTCAGCTCCTTCAGCTTCTCAAGTCCAAAGTGTTCACAAGTTCTCTGTTGTCACCTTTATAACTTTTCTAGTGCTGCCTGTGAGGTGGGCAGCACCTCTGTCTGCCCCAGCTGTAAGGTTCCCTTTTTTTTAATCCCTCCCAAGGAGGCTTCCTGGGCTTTACTTACCAGTTCCAGGGTTCGGTCATGGATAGCTTATGCCGACTGCTGTCTGCGGCAGCCCCAGCCTGCCAGGCCTCCACAGTGCTGCCAGAGCACAGGGACAAGGCTGTGCGAGGTCAAAACCAAGCATAAATTAAAGTCGTAACACCCTAAATAATCCTTAGGAAGAGATAGTATATGAAAGCCTAGAAGTGCAGTTTTTTAAATTAATGGGAGGTTTTAAGTCATAAAAATGTCTCCTTAAATTGGGCATTGAGGTAAATCTTAGGCCCTGTCCTTCCAGAATTAAACTTAGGTTGTGAATTTTCACTGAATTCAACAGGCTGCTCCCGTGTGTAGCATAACTGATGTCCTTAAGTCTGTCTGGGTTCTTAGTCCAAAGGATGGAGCTGCTGCTGCTGCAGGAGGAATAGGTATTGGTGTATTTATCTCTGAGATATCACAAGAATAAGGGAAGTTGATGTGTCCTGGGAAGACTTCTCACGCTGGTGCCCCGCCTGCGAGTCTGGACTGATTGCTTGTTCTGTATCTGTAGGAGTTTTGGAAGAAACTCGGGGAATTGGGAGTTCTGGGGATCACGGCTCCTGGTAAGTCTGTTCCCATCTTTTACCTTCAGCTGGGTGATTCCTCAAACAAAAGAGAGACTTCTTAAACCCATGCTTTCCAGTTCATAACAACCTTGTCTGTGATGTGACATACATTTTGCCCAGAAGCTCCTATCTTCATGTTTTTTAAAAGCTCTTTCGCAACTTTTGTTATTCTTCACTGACTCAGCATCCTTTTTCCTTGTTAGACTTCTGGACAATTACAAATCGCCTTTTACAGCTTAAACATACTGTGCAGAAACGGTTTCTCCAGGTGTAACACACGCAACTCAAACATGTTTGTGCTTCCCTAATATGAGGTGTTTGCTGCAAGTTCTGAAGAATGAGAGCTATAGATAAAAGTATCCTAGAACAAACGTCCATCTCTAATAGGAGAAGTTAAAGGGTATAAAACAGTGCTCTGAAAAGCTGTGATAACTAATGGAGAGCTGACCACATCCAACCAGTCAGAAAAAATCAGGGTAAATCTTATTCAGCCTTGTCCAGGTTAGTTGAAAAGTGTTTTGATTAATGTTATAGATTACTGAGGCCGCTATGGGCGTGCTGAATGCGCTAACGCAGTGTAATGAGGAGAAGCCCTTAGTGGAGAAAAGCAGCCAATGGGGCCTTTATGTCCCCATCGTAAAGTCTGTGTTGCATGTGCCTGTGCAAAGGCTTCTGCAGAAGCGCGCTGAATAGCAATGCCTCGAAATAATGCCTCCGCGTTTCTTTCAGTGGCGCTGAGTCTGCTTGAAAGAGTCGGTATTTCTGCTTTCTTTCTCTTTACTCTTCCCAATTTACTGCTGCTCCTGTTTTTTCTCACTCTTACCTTCTTTCTTCTTTGATGTTGTGCCTGAGGCTTACAGCAGTTTCCCACACTATAAATAAGCCGTCCCCTCATGAGTCCTGTCCTTTTTGGTTTCCGTGAAGATTTACCTCTAAAACCCTCCTATGCCCAGATTTTTTTGCCTTATTTTTGATTGTATAGTTGTGTGCACTTTCTTTATTGGCGGTGGTTTTGTTGTAGGAGGTGGAGACTGGGATTTCGGATGTGAAGGCAATGTGAAATCTTATGAGGGCATATGCTTGATTAAATGGCGTGTTTGGGCACCAGTGGATCAAGTCTATTAAGGGAGCATTGAAATAACAGTGCCTTTTGTTTTCTTCTTAAAACAAGAAAACTATGTTGCTTTGATGTAATTTTCCTTTATTTTGTAAAGAGCTAAGTTAAGAAATGCAAATATGTAGCTACCATGGAATGATAATAGAGGCATGTCATATATAAAGAGTAATTTTGAAAGGGCAACATCATTCTAAATCAGACTATGGTTTGTATTGTATGTGAAGCTGTCTGGCAGGGTTATTTTCTCTTGCAGTACAAAGCGATCGTGGGCCAGTACTGCTTATAGCAGCCCGTTACCTTTCTGTTCCTGACGCAAAGCACCAAACGTATCCACTCTATAGGAATGAACAGAAACCTCTCTTGTTTGGGCATAGATGAGAAATTGTTAAACCTGTGTTTTAGGCTATTGATAGTAAAACCCCACACTGATTTGTGGTATAGAGAGAGGTGGTTGCAGAGGGTAAAGAGCCCTGCGGACAGGGACAGGAGTCAGAATGAGTGACGTGGGAGGAAAGGCTGCGCATAATGCCAGTGGCTATTGTGTTAATTTGATGGGTTAGGGGCAGGAGCCCTCTTCGAGCCCAGGTTATGCAGTGCACTCGGCTCTTTGGCCGCTCTGAGTGTACAAACGTATTTGCTGTTACCGTCGTTGCTGCTTGCTTACAGCATTCACGTTGACGATGAGTAAGTGCTTCCGGATTACCTCCCCGACTGCTTTGCGGTGTTTATGTCCTCCTGTTTGAGTTCTTCTCTTAGCAGCACAATCACTTGCTTCTTGCCTGTAGAGCAAAGCTTTTACATTGGGATGTGACTGTATTTGTGTGTATATAAATGTGTGTGTACGTATACGTATGTTTTTATGTATACATGTAGGCTGTCAGCCGGTGAGGGCCATTATGCATTTCTCAGCTTTCTCTTTTTCCTGCCTTCTCTCTCCCTGTTCTACCGTGTGCCTTTCATCTTTGCCACCGGTTTTAGACTCAGCTCAGGGTGCCTAGCTAGATTCCCAGTTATGATGATCGTGCTGCTCTCTCTCACTTCATCTTCTCCTGAAATCCACACTCTCACCACTGGTGAATTACAGCACTTACATTTATGGATCATTCTTATTCTGATTCGGCCACCCATCAAACTGCTGGTCTCCTGCTCATTTGTGGGCTTAGAAAGGTCCCTAGTGCCCCACTTTTTGAGCAGTTTGAGGATTCCTCACTTGTTTAGGGGTCCTTGCTCTGACAAACACATGTGGACTTTACAAACTTTGCCTGTGTTCCTTTGTCCTCGCGCCTAACACAGGGTGCCCCTTTGTGATTTAATCTTCTTGTTAATATTAAGGTTGCACTTAAGGATGCTTGAGAAGAAGGACTCACTATTTTGCAAGTGTCAGTACCGTGTTTTAGATGTATCCTTATGCATGTTATATGTATAAAACTATGCTGTACAAATAAGTAATTGATTACGCTGAAGAAGTAATATCACTGTGCCTTTAAGTTAAGAAAACCGAAATTTGGAGAGGATGGGGAAGGCCAGGGGTGCCCAGCTCAGGGACAGAGTCAGTCAAAACCAGAAGCTTTCTTGTGAGTGTCTTGGATCTCATTCAAGACTGAGCCCGACCCTGGGACCTTGTGTGTTTGTGTGATGTACTCCATGGTGGTTCACGTGAGGTTTCGCTTCTCTTTTCAGCGGAATATGGTGGATCTGCTTTGGGGTATCTGGACCACGTGCTGGTGATGGAGGAAATTTCTCGTGCGTCAGCGGCTGTTGGGCTTAGTTACGGTGCCCACTCAAACCTTTGTATCAACCAGCTGGTGCGTAACGGCAACGAGGCCCAGAAAAACAAGTACTTGCCCAAGGTACGTGGCTGGAAGAGGGGGAAACTGGAAAGCATTTGGGTTTTGGCTGCGTGCAAGGATGAGTGTCTCTCACGGTGTGTAGCATTTTAAGCGCTAGCCAATTTCAGTGACCCAACCTTTAGGAAATATTGTATTTGCCAAACTTGCTCTTCTCTAGCTTGTACATTTTTGTCATTCATATTGACCTCAGCCTGTGCCGAGGTCAGTGTCTGTAGGCAGCATAGTCCAGCTCTGGAGCGGTGTTCCTAAATGAGGCTTTGCGGTGACACTGGATGATAATCTTCCGAGTTCCCAAATCATTTATAGATTTCTGAATGAAAGTCACAGCTTTCCTGTTTTATGTTCTCCATTCCTCACTGCCCGAACGCTTGGTTTGCCTATGCTAGTTAACCACGTGTGAGATTTCATCATTTGGGGCATTGATGTTTGTGACTCAAAAGCATGTTAAACAGATTGCAGTATTTAAATGCATGGAAAAACTTAACTAGTGCATTGAATCCCAGCTACCGACACTATCAGTGAAATTATCAGCGCAAGAAACTTGATTTAAACCACATGCAAAGTACAGTGTCACTTCCTCAAAGCGTTGTGCAGCCTGCTAATATGTAACCCTGAATTGTCCTCATTGCCACTCAGGTGTATTTTAATGCCCTCATTCGCTGCCTTTTCCATGAGATGTGTGATCCCTTTAGTTCTTACTCGTCTTGGTTTGTGACAGAGTACTTAATGGTATTTAAGTAGTTTTGAGCGGATCATGAAGACTTCTGTAGAAACACACTGGTGGCTTGAATTGGTTGAACATATATCTTAAGCATTCAGTCTGTTTTTTAAAAAAATGAGAGATCAAAAGGAGAAGACAGATAAAAGTACACAGGGAATAAAAAAAAAAAAGGCAAGGAGAAAAGGGCAGGATGAAAGGACCAGTGAAGAGGAAGCAACAGCTATGCCAGAGCCTGGTATGAGCAGGCACAGAAGGGGGGTGTCCATCTGCTATTGTAGTGCGGGTGTGGGGGGACCAGGCTAGGAGAACATTCCTAAGAACTCCGCAATCTCTTTTCATGCCCCTCATTGGCCTTTTGTGTTTAACAACTCTTGTTTATGTAAAAGGGCAGTCGTAAAGTGCAGAACAAGGAGCTTGGGAAAGGCATATGGCTGCCTGCGTGGTTCTTTTGGCACCTTCCTGGAGGTGGTGTTTTATAAGCAGGGCTGTACTCGTCAAACTCAGACACGAGTTGAGTCATCCTCCTCATCCCACTGTGCTTTGGTCCTGTTCCCTCAGCACAGCGGCACAAGGGAGCTCCCCGCTAGGACTCTGCCAGGAGCGGCCACTCTCGTTTGGGGTTCTTGCATAGAACAACTACTGTGGAGATTCAGTGCAGGGCGGCGGGGGGGGGGGAAGGAGTCAATCTAAAGAGGGAACAGAAACAATGCTACTATTCTTCCTCCCTTTCTTAAATTTGCCTTTTCTTCCAGCTAATCAGCGGGGAGCACATCGGAGCCTTAGCAATGAGCGAACCCAATGCTGGGTCTGATGTTGTGTCCATGAAGCTGAAAGCAGATAAGAAAGGTAAAGCCTGTCATGTCCTACCTGGATAGATAACTGGTGTAAATAATGTCTCCTGTAAACTTAGACTAACCTCCCCAACACCACTGAGATACGCTGCTTAGTCTTGGGTACACCAGGCCACCTTTGCAGGTGTGTGCTGCTTCCCAGGAGGTTCATCATGTGATAGACACAGGTAGAGGAGGCACAAGGTGGATGGGCGAAGGTCTAAAAGTGGACTTCTGACTGTGGTGGTGGAGGTTGGTGGTATGATGGAACCAGTGGTAGGTGCCTTAGTTTGTCAGACGTTTGTTAAACTGTCTGTGGACTCCAGAAATTAAGGAAATGAGTTTTCTTGAACTTGGGAAGGATTTGTGCATGATGGGGCACATGTGTGTCTTAAAGAGCATCCTTGGAAGCTTGTTTTGAAATAAATGGAGTGAGGATATAGTAGTTGCTGTGTTGTGAGCTAACAGATGGCAGCTCTTTGCTTCTAGGAGACTACTTTGTTTTGAACGGGAACAAGTTTTGGATCACCAATGGGCCAGATGCAGACGTTCTCATCGTTTATGCTAAAACTGATGTTAATGCTGTTCCAGCCTCCCGAGGTATAACTGCATTCATTGTGGAGAAGGTAGGTTTAATAATTCTCACAAGGTTATTGTAGTGTGGTTTTTAAAGCTAACTCCTTTACCCTAGCTGGCTCGGTTAGAAGCCAGCTAGTTTTCTTTCTGTAACTCTCAGCCCCTTGCTCAAAAAAACCCTACTTCCTGCCTGAATTTTACAAACCCATGAGATTTGTGCTCTGCCCCAGTGATGTGGCATACTGCACTGTCGACTGGGCACTCCTGGGTTTGCTATCCAAGCATGTAACCAGTCTTTAGGGCTAGAAATGTAGGGAGAACGGAGAAGATTCTAATACAAAAGGGCTTGTTTTTTGCCAAAAATTGTCAGAGTAAATATGTCCTACGATCCCATTATCTAACTCCATGTGGGGTTTTTTTAAGCCAAGACATTAAAATAGCTCTACTGAAGTCTTTCCCCTGTTTTCTTGCACTGTCCCTTTGCGATCCTGAAATGACCCAAACATGCATGCAAAGCAGAGCAGGCCAAACGGAGCGGAAACGGGCTGTTCAACAGGGAGCCCTTGGAAAACAGGAAGCTATTGGGTTTTTTCTTCCCTTTTAATTATTTGAGGCTCTGCTATACACATCTCTGTCACCACAAGGAAGACAGGAAGCTGTTATAAAATAAATGGTACTGGAAATATAAAATCTCAGAGATCAGTAAACCTTCTGATGGCCTTAACCTGAGTTAGTGATTAGAATAGTTCGGTTACGGGCAAGGCTTGCAGCCCTCACTTTAGGAGAGTCAGTGTTGGCAGCTGTCCAAATAATTTATTTATTTAATATTTACGTGCATTAGGAGATGGGCGCACTGGGTCCGCATGTGCCCCCCCGCTGTGTGCCTATTTTCTCTGCTCCTTTGCTTTCTCTGTGCTGGCACTTACGCCTGCTCTTGTGCCCAGGGTGGGCAGCTCACTTTGACTCCCTCCCGGCACCCTGCGTGTGTTCATGCGGTCAGGGAAACTTCGCAGACGTCTCGTGATTTTTGTTTCATCTGTCAAAATTGAGATTTGAAATGTATTTTTACTGTCTTGACTTTGCAGGGAACGCCAGGTTTCAGCACAGCCCAGAAGCTCGATAAGCTGGGAATGAGAGGGTCCAACACCTGTGAACTGATCTTCGAAAACTGCAAGATCCCCGGTGAGCTGTGTTCGAACCACGGCAGTACGCGTGTGCTGGTTTCCTCTCTTCTTGATCAGATAAATTGGATCGCTAATTACATGCGTGTTCAGACTGTGACCCAGAGGGCTTTGCAGATGGTTATCTGCTCTTTGGCAGCCTCGCAAGAGAGCTGGTGAAACTGGGGAAGTGCAATCTGCTGGATTGCAGTGGGTGAGCACATCCCTCGTTAGGTCACTCCCTTTTACCCTCCTGGACCCAACTCTTACCCACTGCTTCTGCACAGCCCGGGTGAGGCTTCCAAAGAAACTTGTTTGTTTCTGTTAGAGCTCCCCATCTTGTATATAGGAGAGCTTATTTGCCTTGAATTTATTTTTTGTCCTCCAAAATCACTGGATACTATCCAACAGACTTCTGGTTTGCTTGTAACATTTCTGAGTTCTTTTGGGGTCAGGGCCTGAAAATGGACGTGCTTTCCCTCGTTAGTTAGTACAGCAGGGGCTACTGGAATGGCCATTTTTGTTACTCCAGTGGCTATTTTTGTTGATAGAAAAATTACAGCCTCTGTTATAGCAAGTGGAGGAGATGCCCTCTCTGAACTCATGAAAATCCTAATTGTGTATCTGCAAAGCAAGTAACTCTCCTGCTCCCCATGTGCCACCAAAAGCTGCTTTGCAGTAAGTGGAAGAGCTGCAGCTGAAATCTGACATTTCTAACTTCCTTGGATCCCTCTGCTCTGAAATCGGAAAGGCCAGTGCCCCAGTCTTCAGATCATCTCCCGGGTAATCATCCGTACCGAACGGCGTGTTCTCATGGTAACGGGATTTCCATTTTCTGATAACTCGGAGAAGCACATCACTGCGGTGTTGAAAGTTCACACACTTTGCACTCTGGCCATTAATGCTGCTTCTCATCTTCTGCCTTGGAAGCTGAACCGGTTTGATGCCGTTTCCTACGTCTGCAGGATCTTTCTCTCAGACCAAGATGTCCTCTAGCACTGCAATTCCATCCACTTTAAAATGGATGGGTTTCACTGTCAGCCATGCTCCACTGAGTGGCTGGTGATTTTCTCCTAGGAAGTGTTGTCCGTGGATTCATTTGGTCATGTTGCGTTGGTCAAAGTTGGTTCAGACCCCCAACGTTTTATTTCTTTGCTGTGATATGCAGCCAGCAGATCTGCCCTCCTTGTGCAGTCGTCACGCGTGTCCTTCAGCTCAGCGCATACCTATCTGTCCCTTTTCCCTGGACGTACAGGATAACGTTCAGGCTATTCAGTCCTCTTTTAGCTGTGAGATGTCATCACTCATGAACAGCTTTGTCTCTTTATTATTAGTGATGCTGGCATTTGTGTTCTGTTCTTCAAAGTAATGTTCACTGTTAGTATTTTTCTTTCTTGTCTGTGGGGCTTTTGAGCTTTTTCTCTATAAGCCGAGCTTCATTCTTCTTCTTCTTCCTCTTTCTGGCTCCAATATCGCGGTGATGGCCCTGCAGAGGCTGCATTTCTCCATGCGCGACATCAATGTACTTTTCAATAAGCAGAAGACAATGCAGTGCACGAACTTCTGCCACTGAAAAACAGATTATTAATTTCTGGAGAGTATCTGCGTGTGTCCAAGTCCTGTCTCATTTTCACTTTGCATATCATGCCTCTCGGATCTCTTGTGATCAAAGCCTGAAGTACGTGTCAGTTCTCCTATACGGTGTGATCAGTGGATAATCTCTGTCCATCTACAAAGCACAGTTGTTAGGCTTTAAGTTCTCGTGATTTTTTAAGCGTACAGCCTTGCTGAGATGAGCTTTTTGGTCCTTTTTTTTTTTTTTTTACTTGTTAACATCAGCACATGCTTTAGATTGTCTGAAAGTGAAACCGTTTCTTGCTGTTTTTTCTCAGCCCATTATCTAATGTGGCTATTTTCCCGTTCTGTTTTCACAAAAATAATACTTGTCTTTTTGAAAACGTTTATTTATAACAACTGCAGTGTTCTGTTGAGCCCCCCTCGCAGAAGGGCGGATAATGACTGTATTCTCCAGTCTCACAAGAGTAATACGCCTCACCCCAGCGTGTGATGAGCGGTGCGCTTGGGCTGCCTGCCCGCCTCAGCTTTAGCTCCCGTGCTGGGGATGCTCCGAGGTGACCCAGGCACAGCAGACCAACATCTGCATTCATTTCAAACCCACGCTCGGTAGACATCAGGTGGTAATGCTGTCAGTTTGGGTTAGATACAAAGTAATGGGACAGTAAAGGGGGCTCCCAATTTGTCCTCCCAGTCTCCTGTTCCTGTTGGTACACATGCCGAGCTGGAAGATCGCTGGAGAGCACCTTACTCTTTAGAAAATAGATGAGACAATAGCAGCGATTGTACGTGCACTTTATAACCCTTTACTGCCTTTTCCTTTTTGGCTTTGCTGGATTGAAAAGACATTTCAGGGGCAGGGAGTATATGTATCAAAGCTCAGCGCCTGTCTACCTCATCCTGAATGTTTGTGTCTTGAGCCAGAGAGAAAGGTGAATGGGACTGAAAGCTTGAATCCTCTCCCCAGCGAACACAGGCCCTCAGGCAACAGCGCATCTTAGTTTTGCACATAATTAAATCACTTCCTTTTGCTGATTGCAGCTGAAAATGTCTTGGGGACGCTGAGCAAAGGAGTCTACGTTCTGATGAGCGGATTGGACCTGGAGAGACTCGTGCTGTCTGGCGGGCCGCTGGGGTAAGGGTTTGTCATCTTTTATGGAAGGATCCTTCACGATCACCTTGCCCAGCGGGTCTCCAGCCGGGGTCGCGGCTCCCAGTGGGATGCATCTCGTGTGGAGAACTGAGATGGATACTGGAGCGGCTTCTGAGAGAAGAGGAGGGACCAGGAGGAGGTGGCTGGGCCAGAGCGGTGGGAAGGAAGCAAGCCGCAGGGGAGGTGGGAGAGGGGGGGATCCCGTAGCTGCCGACTTCTCTGGCTACATCGGGGCTGCTCTGGTGGACTCCTGCCGGAGGGCGCTCAGCTCAGCACTCTGCGCGGCCACCGCTCGCTCTGTGGCCGCTCCACCTTCTCCTTCGGCTCTCCTCACCTCTACACTCCTCGGGCAGTTTTTTGCAGTTTGAAAGCATCTATGTGGAACGCCCTCTGAGGGACAAGGGATAGAAGAAGCAATGCCAGGGAGAAAGTTTGTTAATCTCTGCCTGCTGGTGTAGCACAGAGCCAGCAGAGAATGCTTTTGACAATATCAGTCTTAACGTGAACATTTCCAGAGATGGAAAATCTGTCCTGGTCCCCGATTGCTTGCCTGTGTATCCCTGCAGTGTGTATTACTCTGGGAATAACCAGCTCATTTGCATTACTGGTTACTTACAACCTAAACCACTGCCCAGGCTGTCGCACAGAAGGATCACTGGACTGGGTAAAGGGTTTGTTCTTCATTTGTTCAGTCCTTAAGCTCCCCAGTAATTATTTTTTACCCTACAGTCCTTTTGTCCTCCCGAGTGGTCTCTCTGTACTAATCCTCATGTGGAAGGACCATCTTCCACAAAGCAGAAGGAGGACGTTTCGCCCTTCTTGTTCTTGCCTGCACTTTGTTGCGGTATTGGTTAGTGCTCCTTGAGTTGGTGCTCCCTGGAGGTGCAAGGCAGCACAAACTCTCCTGGTTACAGTTGTAAGAAAGCTCTTCAACTGCGTCTCAGTCACCCGAAATAAGAAGGTAAGACCTTACGGCAAGATGTCCCAAATGAGCAGTATGTAGAGCACTAGGGAGAAAACTGGAACCTTTGGATTCTGTTCTCAGTGTTGTTTGAGTGGAGCTAGAGGAAGGCAGCAACATATCATTTTAGGTACGAGACCCCTTTTGCCTTAGATTGTGCTTCCAAGGTTTAGTTACTATTAATTAGTATTTCTGTTGTTTTCCTTTTCCTGCATATCCGTGCTTTTCTTAGGCTCATGCAAGCTGTTCTTGACCACGCAATTCCATACCTACACGTGAGAGAAGCATTTGGACAGAAAATTGGCCACTTCCAGGTGAGGCAGAAAGGGAATTGGAAATGTTTGTCATCTTGCTCTTTTTCTTGAAAAACGAGAAGATGAGGAGCTCCATCGTGGGAGGTCTTTGTGTTGCCCGGAGCCTGTGCTGGGGCTGCCTGCTGCAATGATGTGGCGAGAAGGTGAAAGGGTCTCTGAGCCTGTTTGCCTGAGGCCACTGGTGGTGGGGAGGGACTGCGGCTGATGTGCGGCAGTCTGCGAATCCACAGGACCTGCAGCTCCCCCATACGTATCTGCGGAATCCACCGCCCCTCGCTTGCCTAGTTTCCCTGAGATAGTTTGGAGCAGGGGTGCTCGTGCAGAAAATGATCTTCCCCTCCCTCCTGTTAACGTCTCTCTCGTCTCGGGTGCCGCGCAGCTCATGCAGGGCAAAATGGCTGATATGTACACCCGGCTGATGGCCTGTCGGCAGTACGTCTACAACGTGGCGAAGGCCTGCGACCAGGGCCATTTCAACGCGAAGGTGAGCTCGCTGCCACCGGGGCAGTTCCTTTCCCTTTGCTCCCCGATCCTGAGCAGGGTGGAGGTTCTGCGCTGGGGGTTGAAATTACTCGCTCGCAGCCTTGAGTGCTTTCTTTCCCCCCCCCCGAAGAAGAAGAAAGCCTGGTTGTACAAGGTGGCAGATTTGGCAGCATCAATAGGTGTTTATTGGAAGCCCAAAGACAATACCCTAGCTGTTGTGAGGGGCTGTAGCCGTCATTCCGAGGTGTCATCTCCACAACCGGCGCTGTCGCCACACCTCTGTCAAAGGAGGGGAACTGAGTTTCCCAGTTGGAGCGCAGAGCCCTGCATCCCAAATCAAATCGCATCGGTCTCCTGTGGGGATGACATGCAGTTGTGAGAGACCACCTCCCCCAGTGCACTCTTCTTTTTTTATTATTATTTTATTTTTCTGTCTTGCTGTGGCCTTTGCAGACCTGACACAAGTGTTGTGTAGTGACAGAAAGACTGCCGCAGCTTCTTGCTCGCGGGGGGATGGATCCTGTGCCTTTGCGATGGAGTAGCTCAGGCTTGTTAGCGGGTGTTTGCGGAGTGGTGGGGAGGTCAGAGCGACGCGGGGACTGGAGACGGGCAGGTGACGCCTCTCCTGACTGTCACTGTGACTCTCCTTTAGGACTGCGCTGGAGTGATCCTGTACTCAGCAGAGTGCGCTACGCAGGTGGCTCTGGATGGGATTCAGTGTCTGGGTAAGTCACTGGCGGCGTGTGTTTCCTTGAGCGAGTGGTGGAGAGAGCCAAGAGCATTGCTCTGTCCCGTCCCACCCTCAGCCCCTAAAATCAGAGAGGAGAAATGACTTGTGGCTTCTTTTTGATTGCAGGAGGGAACGGTTACATCAACGACTATCCCATGGGGCGATTCCTGCGTGATGCCAAGCTCTACGAGATAGGGGCCGGCACCAGTGAAGTGCGCAGACTTATCATTGGCAGGGCCTTTAACGCCACTTTTAAGTAACGTCCACCAGTGGAGAGGCAGCACCCCGACCACCGCGAGGCCTTTGCCCATAGAGGCTGAAGCGCACAACTTTTTTCTTTTTTTTTTTTTTTTTTTAATTCTTCTTCCTGCTTGGGATTCTGGGATCGTCACTTGTGGCGTCACTTGTGGCCTCTCTTGTGCCCGCTCTGCGAACACGGGCTGCTGGACTGGGCTTTGACAAAACGAATCAGATGGTAGCATGGAAGGAAAAGCGGTTTTTTTCCTCTTCTCGTGATCATCCTGATTCATCCCACTCATAAGCCATCCTGATTCTCAGCGTCACAGGGCTGAGGTTCATCCAGGGGATGTATCGCCGTCGAAGCAGGCGGGTGAGCAGCCATTGCTGAGCACAGGAAGTCAACCCAACCAACCCCCCCCCCCTAAAAAAAAAAAAAAGACAATGAGGGAACAATTTTGTTCTTTTTTTAAAAAAAAAAAACGAGTGCCGTTAAATAGCTAGCATTTAGCATATTACTAGCGGAAGGTGAAATTTCCCATTGTGACCTTCCGATGGGATTAATAACTTCCACTTTGGGAACTCGACGCCAGCCACATCACGAGGGTGGCTGTCACGAACACTCGAGCATCATTGGTGTACAAGCAGTGTTTTAGGTGATGATCCCTAAAGCCTCGTTAAAACACCACATCTGTTTCTTTGCATATTCCCTTTCCTATCCCTGCTGCTTCTCAAGATATTTCAGCGCAGCCCCACGTCTTTGCTGCTCTGAGTGACTGCCTCCCGCTGTGTTATTCATTCCGAGGTGTCACCATCCATCATTCTGGGAACAGTTAAAGCGTCAGACCTGCATTGTGACATCCATGAATGAAGCAGGCAGGAGGAGGTTGACTTTTGGGGCTGGGATTATTTGTGTTGGTTTTTTTTTTCTGAAGGTTGTTCTTTTGGCAAAAGCACGTACTCACACTCCACCTTCGGTTGGTCAGAGAAGGCAGAGTGAGCGCGGCCCTACTTGTAGGTGTTTTCAGTGTGTATTATACAGCAAATTGAAGTTTACCTGGCTTTATTAAGAAAATTGCACATTCTACTGCCAGCCTTAAAGAGTGAATCACAAAGAAAAATTGGATGTTGTAAATATGACAGAGCAAGTAATTAAACAGTTGCCATGTAGGCAACCTCCCAGCAGTTGTAACAAAAAAGAGCTTGAAGTTTTGTGTATTTTTTTGGTTGTAGTTGGCATCTGTCTATACTAGGTGACAATAGACTAATACAGAATTTTAAAATGCCACAGATTGAAGGAAAATTCTCCTTCTCGGATCACCAGACAGGTCACCAAATGTTTTTGTAAAAAAAGTTATAAAACTTCACTTTATCCAGAGCTAGAAACAGCTTCTGAAATCATGTTGGCAGCGCCTTCCTCCTAAACTTCGTGTTTATTCAGCTACGGTGGACGGCTGTCACTTCAGGTGTCCCAGGGCTTCAGTTTCAACCTTGGTCTCTGGATGGAGGTAGCCGGGAGTGGACGGAGGTGCCCTGTCAAGAATATCTTGTTGAGCTGCCCCTAAAAATGCTTTGGAAACGAGCGCTGAAGCACAGGTGGAGTGCGCTTCACCTGTGAAACACTGTGTGTGTTTCTGTACATCAATGTAAGAATTTGTGTGAGCAGACATTTATATTTTATCACAGAACGATTACAGATGTTGTCTTCTCCTGTATGGGCAAATCCCCAAACCGCTGCAGTCGCTACAGCCCAGTCAACCCTGCGGAAGCCCGAGGGCAGGAGGTTCCTGCTTTCCCCGGGCGGTTTGGGCAGCAGAGCCCCCCCGTGCCTGCCTGCGGGTTCCCAGGCGTCCGGGGCCGGGGCAGGGATGCTGCAGGGATGCTGCAGAGCGCAGCCGCTCTCTGCGGTACCCACAGTTTCTGCGTCCCAGTAAAATGGCAAAGCTAACTGGGAGAGGTGGTGGGAGCACTTGCAGGGGCGGTGAGGAGTACAGACACAGCGTCTCCAATGCCTGTCGGAAAGTCATACTTCACCTGTGTGTTCTTCAGCTCTTTAATACGGGAATGAATCACGGCAATTTTCCTTGGAGGCTCTCAAAAGAACAGCGGAACTGAATCACTGTGCTACGATCCATCTCCGGCCAGAGGAGCTTCTCTAATGAGCATTGTGAGATTCAGATTGTTAAAAAATAGGTTTTCTAAGGCGGAAGGGACCCGCAGATTTTTAAAGGAGAGGTCTATTTTTTAATGCACATAATAAATAAAGCCTTCACTTTCTAGGCTGATCAGTACCTCGGGGCTAAAGGTAAAACGAAGCGATGTCTCTTGTTTCACGGGATGGGGTGGAGGGAGGGATTCAGAAGTCTTAAGCAGGGTTGTGTTAACGAAACCTCGCGCACTTCCACAGCATCCCCGCACGGCTGCTGTGGGAAAGGGCTGCCTTTCCTTGCGCTGAGCGGGTTTCACCGTGGTATAAAAGGAAGGGCTGGGGAGGGCTTTTGGGGGGATACAAGCTTTAATCTTTATTATGGTACTACTAAAATAAGCTTTTTCTGGGTGGTCTGTGCTGCCGGGGTGTTTCCCAGCAGAGGGGACGTGCAGATGGTGTCCCGTACCGCGGCCGGCAGCAGCAATGGCTGCAGCTTTGCTTTCTTTCATCATTCCCACTTTCTTACCAACCACAGCTTCCC